CCACACCACTGGGCTAGCCAAGAGCTTGAGGCCTCGAGTAGAGCTAAGGCAAAGGATAAAGTAAGTGATAGTAGGTCTAAGAGCAGCTGTTGGGCACCGCTGGTGTTGGCGTTCAGAATGCCAAATTTACTGACGACGAGATGAGCTATACTCTCGAAAAACGAGTCCCTCCAAAAGTGAGGAGTAGCTGCGTGACTGGAGAGGTGTCTACTGTTATCCGTGTAGCTTTTGTTGGAAAGAATCAAGGCATTCAACAAGCTTAGCAAGGAGGAACAGGCCGAGCAGCTTGCACCGTGGAAGGCCGAGAGAAGGGAGAAGGAAGAGAAGCTCATCGAGAGGAAGAAGAAGGACGACACCTTCAACGGATTTGGTAACCCCCGAAAGCACAGAGTTGTCTCAGCTAGATGAGCTCTTGCATTTACATGTTGTTGTATGCTGTGTTGTTGTATTCACATGCCGTATGTTGAAAAAAGACAACTCGTGTTATAGTTGTTTTTGTGTACATATATCATAATATACATACTTTCCTGGATCTTCGTGTTATACCACGCTCAGCCCACATTTCTCCTAGAGCCTATACATTCAACAAGAGTAGATAGAGAAACGATTATATCCGAAACAATACGTCGCATGTGACAGGGTATTCATACGCCAACAGCATCCTTCTCCTTTTCGCATCTACAACAAACGTCATCAAATACACATCACATGTCGGCATACTCCTACTTCGACTCGAAGCTCTTTCCCTCGATACCGCACTTCTTGCCACTCAGCCATCGTGCAGTCTCAGCGCAATGCTCCTCTATAGGAGTCAACTTGGCTAGAGCCAGACGTAGATCCAAAGGCATCGGCACGTACACGTCCACAGTAGCATCTAACAGCGACAGTGGGCTGAGGTAGGCACTCCTCGACTGTACCCTTCTCATCAACAACATCCATTGGTTGATTATAACAGAGTCGATAGCTGTGCAGGAAGGTCCGAGGACACCACAATCTGTCTATTGCACACACCGCCTTGGCAGCCTCGGGGTCGGTCGGATTGCCGTACTTCGGATCGCATACCAAGGGATGACCAATGTACGCCATATGCACTCTGAAGGAGGAAGTAGTAGGACTGCAGCAGGAGTTGGAGGAACTCACCTAATCTGATGTGTTCTTCCTGTATGCAACTTCACTAACACCAACGAATATTCCTCGCCAGATCTACACACGTACTCACATGTGTATCAGCCAACAACTACTGAGCTCACCCGTCATTGTAATGGGCCACCGGTACAACTTCTGTGAGGGAAGGCTTTCCATCAGGCGCTACTACACAAGTGGTGCTGTAGGACTGCCCATTGTCCAGAGTCGACTTGAGGATCTGCCAGAGCCGCTTTGGAGGAGTGCCACCACGAGCTCATTATATGACTTTGATTCGATCGCTTATAACGATGTTCTTCCCAACAGTTCCCATATGGCCTTTCACCAATGCAACGTATTCTTTGTCGATCTACAATCAAGACTCTACAAAGTTATGATGCCCGTTTCTACCTGGTGGGAGCAGAAGACCAACCGGCCCATATAGAAGCCTTTATAACTATGGGCCAACAGTAGAGGACCGCTAGTGCCCACATCAAGGCGATGTAGTATACCATGGGCATGATGACGATCCCTTGCTATCGGGTAACCAGAGTAGGCCTCTTCTACCCATTCCTGACCACAACTATCTCCTCAACACTTTCAGCTTGCTATTACTATTACCTGCAAGCCAGAGGCATTCCCGTTGGCACTAGTCATCGTCTTGAAGGCAGCATCCTTGGCCTCGGCCTCTTCATCCGTGGCGTCATCTACCTCCCCCTCAGCCGCCCCTGCTATAGCTGAAGTCACTGACACGTGCCTGGACAGGACAACCATAATGTGTGGTTCATGTTACCGGCCCATTACCAATGAGCAGGCTTCCAGATGACACTTAAATGCTTCGTCTCGTGGAGGACCTAGAAGCCACCATTCGAGCCATGACCAACGAAAGGTTTCGAACTACAGCCGGAACTGTGGTATCCATCTCGTCCATGTCCACCAGCTGAGGCCTCTCACCGACTCCGCGGCCTTTCGCTTCGTCTTTCTTATTGCCCAGTTGCCGTACTCTATCGAGACAGGCTTCATACAGCTGCTTATCCAACCTGCTTGTCCGAGGTCACTACACTCTATCCAACACGACTCACCTCTTTGCCGTAGAGTAGGCCCACACTAGACTGAATAAATGATTAGCCTCGAAGTCTTTCATTCTATTGAGAGATTCCTCTCGAAGGACCTAAGCCCATGATCATCATCATGACCCAATAGTGGTAGCGCCTTACGTCGAAGAGCTCAATAACAGCCTTGGGTGGCTCCTTGCTCTTCTCCGCTACTGCAGTGAAGCCCCGAACGGCACCAATCCGCAGTAGGAGTGGAGGAAACCAACTGTGTGGTGCGTGTGTGGTGAGCATTTTCGAATAAACCACGAAAACTAAAAGTCCATGGAAGCCTGGCGCGGCTATAAACCACACCTGTTCTTCTATGGAGAGGGTCGGAGATCACAATCGTAGTGTGGGGTATCACCTCAGCGCATAATGAGTCTGCCGACTGGGGGTGTGATGATAGAGTTATAGGGCGTTAGAGAGCTATCAGAAATGATGTCTAGAGACGCTTAAGTCGATGGGGAGTTCGACGAAAATTCGACTCGAATACAAAAGATGCAGGACACTTCATGCCACCGGATTTCACCGAATAAAAAGTAGTGCAAGTGCATGTAATTACTTTAGGACGTCATAAGTTTTATGACTGTTGTAGACCATAACTTGTGGTGTAGTGGTAAGTGCATGGGTACCACGCCAATGAGCCAGGTTCAATCCTTGGATAGGTCAGAATATTTTTGTATTTGTTCGTTATAATCTTATAACGTACTTGTTCTTTCTCTTGCGTCTTGTGTTTATCAAGTAGTGTTAGTCTTTGAATACAATGCGGGGACCGGAACTCGAGACACTACAAGTAGTGCGGACTCAACACATTATTGCGCGAATTTGTGATGAAGAAACACTGTGAATAATAATATTCTGCCAATGTAACATTTGGTTTCGCATTTGCCACTCGTCTCCTTTGCAAATTCCGAACTCTCTATTCATAAATATTGGGGAATACGGGAATATTCTCATATTCCCGTCTTGCTCCCAGGCTGGCCCGGAACTACCAAGCTGGCCTCATCCACAGATTCGCATTCACAAGAAATATGTTCAGGCGACTTGAATGATCAATCCTCGTCTTGCCCTCTGCATCTCCGTAAGATCCGTTACGGCGCCGTGATTTTACGTTACGGGGCTTGAAGCGTAACCGTAAAAGTGAGCCGTTCAATTGCCCAAATCTAGTCAGACGCCGTTTTGAGCAACGCTGTTGATAATGTGCTACAGCCCGGGATCTTCTAACATTCCGCAACTTGTTGCGGCTATCCGCAACACCCTGAGCCGCTTGTTTGAAGGACATGAGTTTGCCCTAGTTCTTCCACCTTACTAGAATGTCTACAGCTCACTGACCATTACGATTTCGGCTGCTTCCATCGAGTTGCGAAAAACCTTGCTCAAATGACAAAAAGACTGTTGGATAAATTCAGTTCCGCTACTTCCATTATCATTTGACGCTTGCTCAAATGCACAGACTGTGCAAGTTACGGTGAATATCCTCCGACGATACTTGGGGAGCCCCCCACAGGTTCTTTCGCGTCAGCGTCACGTGGGGGTGGTCGGCTATGCAGGTACGAAGTAGGGACCGAACCTCCCGCACAGTGTGCGGCGCACACATACGTTCCCCTTGCTGGTAACTGGGTGATGGTGGGGCGACCAACCCGACTCCTTCGCTCTCGCTGTTTAGTCGATTCGCTCGCTCTCTCTGACGATGATTCTTTCATTTCTTTTTACCTGTGTCAACTACTCCATCTTGACATGCCACGTTACTATCGCACTCAGAAGCTATCACATCGATTAGCAGACCGACAGGAGCTACTCGTCATGGTATTCTACAACATACTGTAAATGGTCTAGCGGCTGTCTTCCTTTAGCACCATATCGCCCAGTCAGCTGGCCACTACAGAATCGAGAGGATGACACAGTTCGACTACTTACTGTGCTTCTCTACTCTACTGAGGGGATGATTTACACGGCATTGCTTCTTGTTGAGGATATTTACTGTAATCTTTCTCATGTAAACTATTGTACGACCCAAATACAGACCACGTTGTGGTCTGCCTCACCGCGCCCACGGTCCAATTGCGCGTATCGTATGAGAGGCTGATAAGCTTTATGTGTGTAATGTCCGGCAATAAAGTTCAAATTGAATTGAATTGGAGACTACTGACCAACGGAGGATTTGAGTACACGGAGAGTTGTCGGGGAGACCACTCCGAGAGACCGGCTGGACTTGGTGAAGAAAGTGAATGCGATAATATGAACAGCGGCAGACGCGTAAGAGACAAGTTAAGGATCCGATAGCCCGTTTACGATGTCGTAGGATGAGCTCGTTAACCAAGGCTAGGTCCGATTCTGAGACAACGAACACTGTATAGGCCTGTACAAGATTGCGGGTCTATCTGTGTTAACTTTTAACATTGGTATGAATAGCTTTTTTAGTGGACCCTCGAATGTCATGGCCATGATGAGCGCTAACTCCTCAGCCATTCCAAGGAATTGGCAGTTCTACGGTCGATCTAAAAGGACGTTGTGAGAGAAAGCTTCAATGTAAGAGACAGAAGCAAGAGTCGTTATAACAAGAGATGAAGAAAAGCTGGTGTGATCGAAGACATGGAGCCCACAATTACTATAAAGTTATACTGCATTCGTAGATGTGAGGTCATCCCGATCTCATCTGCGATCAGCTCGGTTCTGTGCAGATTTAGAGTTAGGATTCGTAGTTGTTTACATAGTCACGAAAAGTTAACGCGGGAATTATGGAACTCGAGCGAAGGTCTACACAAGCAGGTCGCCGCAGGTCGCCTCTATCTCATAACATCCCCTCTAAAAGTTATCCAGTCTTTGTCACAACGTCAAAACTATCCAACGTGCACTACTCTAAGTAAGTCACGGATCCACTATGTGAGGGGAGCTTTTTTAACAGGTATCATCTCAATCTATTTCACCGCAAGAAACTTCTATCCCACCATGAGAAGCTTCAATTTCAACAGGCGAGCAAGTTGGTGCTATACGAACGCGGTCATGGAGACATCCAAATAGGAACTTCTATTCTAAGTAAAGCTTTTCGACGGTGCGCAGTTTTGGGAACCACAATTCCGACAAAGCAGTTTAGGAACTGGGATTTTGCACGTAGGATTTCCTATTTTCCTTCGAACTTGAGGAATTCAGAGTAAGCTCCGATTCTAAGCTTACTCTGAGTTCCTCAAGTCTTCTGAAGACTTCTGAAGTTCTGTGACTGCCTGTTACTGACAGAACGCAACTTCTCCAGCGAATCGACGAGTCACCGGTGATCCCCATAGTAACGCCGGGGATCAGAGCTCTTAATTCCCGGTGTTTGGCATCGCGGGTCGATAGTGCGTGTTAATAACGACTAAGGAAGGTAGTTCACGACTCGTGAGCTACTTTCGAAAGTAACTTTTTACATGAATCACGAGAGGAAATATGCCTTGTCCGACAAAGCTTGTCATCATACGCCGTATGACATACGGAGACTAGTGCGACAACCGATGAATTTAACTGTATCCTGGGCCATCACTGATGGCGTATCACAGCTCAATAGCGTAATCTTTCAGATGGTGGATTCGATGACAAATTGTCATTGTCATTGACAATGACCGGAAGAAGCGTTGCGTACGAATCCGCTAAACTTTTCCCTCATGCGCGGAACTTGACTCACTATTCGTAACATAGCTCGAACTGAACTACTTACGTTAGAACCTTGTATACCTGAATAATTCAGGCTGAATTACCTCGGCAAGGTATGCATGAAAACTCCGTAACGCAAGTATTCAACCATCATATTGAAATGTGTGTTCTACATTGATATTCGAACTCGACCAGTCCGAAAGGAGAAACAGCAGAGCTCTGCGGGAGATGCTGCGTTGCAGAACTTTTTCCGAGTATAGTTAGATTGTTCTTGTGAATGACAGCTACAGCGACTACATGAGTGAGAAGACAAAAAAGACCTTTCGCATGTGCGTGGAATAGATAGAACAAGAATCAGTTGGCTCAAGCATTATGATAGGCTGGGCAATAACCTAAGTCAGCGAACTGCGGATTCATCCTTACATGAGTCCAGTTCTTGATGCCGACAATTTCCTTGTGAACAGCCGCTCTCTCATCGAGATTCCGAGCCCACATATTGAAATGCTTATGCGGGGGTATAATGTAGAACTGGCGAGGTAAAGAATCTGATCCGAGTTGGGCAGCCGAACCGATGTTCCACGTGTACCGGACCCTTGCACTGTTCGGGAAGGGCATCGGCTTGTTAACCCAAGTTTTGATACGCCTCTTCGACCAGTCAGACTCACCAAACGTAGCCCAGTGCCCGAGATGGCTGGCAATATTCAACAGAGGGGACACGTCATCATATTCCAGAACGTTTCCACCACCAAAAGAGGCAACATCCATCGCCTGATCAGCCAGACCACCGAAAGTGAAAGCTGTTGCAGCTCCTGTGAGCTGTAGAGTCTGCGTAAATAACGAGCAAGCAGAGCCACAGTTACCATCCGTCACAAAAGCGACCTCTGTCCAATAATTCGGGTCATAACTCGACCCTCTGACGATTCCGGGTAGAAATAGGTCCAATACGGCATAGCAGGAACCGAAAGCACTTGTAGCGGAGTAGTTTGAAGGCTCGCCCCATGGAAGAACCCGATAATTCGCAAAGTGACTCAAAGGAGGGTCGAAAGGCGCGCGAGTTTTAGGGTTTATCAGCTCCTCGTTATCAAAGAGATACCAACCATATTGTGGAGCCAATTCCGAACCAGGGCTCGTAGATGAATCCAAAAAGCGTCTCTCTTTCAAGAAGGCTTTGAAGAGGCTCACTCGTCGAGCGACACGCTCCTCTGATAATATCGATTTTTCGATCTCCTCCAGACGCGGTACTTCAACACGCTCGATATGGGAATCACGCAGGGTAGCCGAATCGGAGAGCGCCAGGTCAACATAATTGAGCAGGATGTAGAGCTGTTGGAATTTCTCGTGGATGAAGCCTGGATCTCCAACCAGTTGAGCGTTCTCGTTGAAGAAGTCGTCGATAGTTTGATCATAGTTGAGTCCGAAAGATGACACCCAGGAGATCCAATCATCGGTCATATGGCGAACAATAGGAAAGCAAATCTCGTCGGGATTCGGTACAATATACCATTGCAACGCAAAGGTTGAAATGACAAAGCCACCACCATTGGTAGAGACATCGAATAGTATTCGAGTCACATTGTTCTCCCGAGCGAAGTCTTGAACTTCGGGAAAGTTCCCGTACAGAAGCACCGGCAATAAAAAAGTGAAACCACCGGGAACGAAGTGCGGTACGCTCACCACCACAGTGTCGTCCAGTAATGAATATTGGTAGCCGGTTCCAGAGATCCACCTCGCTTCCCCTTCCGAAGTTTTCGACGAGAAGAGAGCAGCATTACCATCATCATACACATTACGACTACTATCCGCCCGAGCCACAATGTCGTCCAAGCCAGCATAACCGTAGTCTTGATTCGACGACCCATCAGCAAAGTTCCATAGAGTGCTGGCATCCTTCTGGTAAAACTCGGTCTCGAACGCCACCGTTTTTTCGAATAGTGGATTCCTATTGGTTAGGGCATTGTAGAAGCGCGCGGTAATGGCGTCATCTCCCACGTACTTGGTATAGTCGCTCAACCGCCCGAGCCAGTTTATCTCCTCGGTGGATCCGTCGTCGAATGTGACACTCAATGGTCCCGTTGGTGGCTGGAATCGTAGCAAATTCCTGTCGACGACAGAACTAACGAAGAAGTGGTTATTGAGCCTCTGGAGAAGACCCTGGTAGATCCCCAAGTAAGGTCCACTCTCGGATACCGCATCCTGCATCCATTGGAGGACAGGCTTGCCGTCAACTTCAACAATGACATCGCCTTCCTTATGGGCAGTTACAGGTTCACCATAGACGCCGGGGTAATACGTCTCGTTGAGATTCGGGAAGCCGAGAGTTACGACCTGGGCTCCGTCACGCATATACGAATCGAAGCGAATTGGAAGCACGAAGTAGAAGTCCCTGTATGGCGTATCATAGCGAGTATGAGCGTCGTTCAAGCGGCTTAACTGACGCTGTAGAGCGAAGTGAAAAGAGGCCGCTGGAATGCTCTCACTGAAGAGCTCCTGCCTTTCCTCCAAAGTCATTGGGTTCAGCGCGGCGGCATACTCACTTATCCTGTCATCAATGAAACTCTCGATGTCAACGTCAAGAGAATGCAGCTTGAAGTTGCAGGTGTTGACCTCCACAGAGTCGTCCAAGCCATTAGCGATGTCAGTGAAGGCGTAGGTCTCAGCCAGGCCGTACTTGAGGTTGTGGAGAGTGAAGAGGGCATCGAAGTTGGTGATGGTGAGATTATTGAGGCATCGGGTCACGTCCTCGGCTCGTCCCCATATGAAGTCCTTCATAGTATCATCTGCTAGCGTCTGTCGAATAGTCCGTCCTCTGGCTGGGTTCAGAGGGGCACAGTCGTCAACAACAGGGATCGAAGATGTGGGTATGACAGATCTGTTCGCAGGACCGCAGGGGATGGGTGGCTCACTTCCGTGACACACGACACCATCCCCAAACTTGTAGTACATGCAGTGGGTGACCTGGCCAGGCATTACATCGCGGCATGCCTGATCCCACTTCTCATGATCGGGAGGCTGGCCTTGGACTGATGACCTTAACACCCACCAAGAGATGATCACACTAAGCTGGAGACGAGGCATCAACAATAAGCTATCGATGGTTGGAATCTGATATTCCGAGTAATCATGACAACTTACTCACAGTACAGCTACCGTCCACATAGCTGATCGTTCTATACGAGAGCTATCGTCGACCGCTACCGATTCGGTCACTGAATTTTAGTGGGAATGAACCAATCAGACATCCTCGATCCAAGGGGAGACGCAAGGCGTCGCCTTATCCTATCATACAACGAGTCTCCTACAATTGCACGCATGGGATTCCCATGCGAGCAATTGTAGGAGACATGTCACTAATAGCAGGGCAGTTTCTGTAGGATGATCTGTCGTTGGCCAGTTTATTCGTTGTGCTATACCGTTCGTTCGTTATGTGCGACTGTGCGGCCCTACTTGTGCGGTCCTACCTATGCGTAGTAAGCAGATAGACAGTATATAACGGTGGTACGATTGCTAAAGGTGGCTCATGGGTACACGTGCTAAACCATCGATCACATTCAGAGTTTCACGCGGATTCTTTTGAGAATTATTGTTAGCACTTCTGCCAATCTTGCCGGACGCAGGCGAAGCACGATCTGATACGTGCATCTACCACTGAGATTGTGTTGTCAAAGTCAGCAGCATCAGCTACCTGGAATGTCACATTGATACTATCAATTGAAGACCCGACCACGACCTTGAGTAGATTACTCCACACAGGGCACCTACCCTTGATGGTCTGAGGACCCAACACTATCAGCTGCTTGCATTCATCACTGATGAGGATACGGAATTCATATTGATGCTCAGCATGGCCCGCCTCTGAGTAACCCAATGCTCAGCTACAGCCCATAACGTCTCGGGCCGTGTTTGATGCAGAGTCCAAGACAGGACCAGACCAGCCACAGAAGTGTCTTCATTTTCGAGAGACAACTGTCCCGATTGCGATTAGGCTGAATGCGGCTCGCATTATGCGAGCCAACCTTGTTTCCTTTCGTAATATAGGCTTCAGCTAATATAGCTTCAGACGGAGTCCCAAGTTTCGATAGCACGCTCATAAGTCTATGATCAATGAATGTTCAAGATCAGATTAACCCTCTTCATCGGGGTAAAAAAGCCTTTCGAGCTCGAAGAAGGCTTTCATCCAGCCGACTCTGAAACTCCTCTCATGGGACCAAGCGCTGGACCTGGCGGTCCAAGGCCTCAGAGCTTACTGTGAGATTTTTCGTATCAATGCGTCTTTCAGTCACTTCTGAATATAATACTGTACATTTCGGCAACATCAGAACTCCAGCAACTTTGCGAAGATGCGTATAAAGCAATAGAGTTGCTTTTCAGCAGCATAAAACGTGTCAAGACGGACACATTCCGACATCTTGTTCGCATTTCTGCATCTTGTCTTGTTCGAATTGAGCAATGTTGCTGACATCTTTCTGAAAAGGTGGATTCGTTGTATTGAGTTTTGAACATTTTTACTACGAGTCTTAGAGCAAGCGTTCTACACGATTTTTGTGAACGGGGAACATCAGTGAGTTGCTGAAAAGTGAATGTCTGCCGCGGGCGCATTTGAACATCTTTAATAGGTTGCTAAAATGACGCAAGGTCTCGTCATTATAGTTGCTGCTGTGGTATCTCCACTTTTAGACCGATACACTTTTGCACCAAAAACCGTCGCAAAATAAAAACAACACTTTTTTCGGACCAAAACTTTTTTACGATGATTTGATGGTTCGAGTGAAACATTCACAGTTCACCCGTCACAGAATATGCCTGCTAACTCAGCAGTGCTAAGCCTAGTCTCGCTTCCCAGTCTTCCTTCTTCCTCCAAGTTGCACCATTTTCTTGGAATCAGGTCTAATTCCGTCAACCGATTCCGTCGTCCGCGAGCACTAAACACGAGCCTCATCATGAGAGTACTGGCATAATTGCCCCGGTAACACGAAATTGAAGTTCCGGACAACGAAGTCGGTTTTCCAGAAGAGACGAAATTGAAGGTCTGAAGGTGTACTCGACGAAATCGAAAGTTCTACGACGAATTCGAAGGTTCGAAAGTCGAAATTAAAAGTTCTTATAGAACTGTTCTATTAACACAACCTTGAACTTCCTATGGACTTCGGACGAACTTGAATGTTCTATGACGAAGTTGAAGGTTCTAATTATGAATATGATCTTCCCGTTTCGGATTCGTACCTCCAACTTCGCGCGTCCCGACGAAGTTGATGGTTTCAAAGACGAACTAGATGTTTAAAAGGCGTAGAGATGATGACCTCGAAGTTGACGACCTGGTCTGGCTAAATCATCAAGCTAAGAAGGCTGAATCTTGTATTCCTAAACTGTCACCTCGCTACATTGGTCCATTCCGTATCAAGACTATCACTGGTAACATTGTCACTTTGACTGGTTATGACGGAGCTGAAGAAGTAGTTAGCTCTCGGGACGTTAAGATATGTCTCGAACCAGATCTTGATTCTGACTAACACGATTACCTATCATGAATAACTTTCTATAAGAGAGGGGGGAACTCCTCATCGTCATCTCATTTCACCCTATTCTATACCATCATACCAATAACTCATTCACCTCACAATCAAGTTCATAGTACTATCCATTATCGATCGACTTCATTCGGAGGGAAAAGTGTTACTGCTCCTACCCATTGTGCGCGATTACACGTGTGTGCATAGCTAATCACCTATTCCTCCGAATAGATTAAGACAAAAGGCCTTTTCAACTCCTTCCGACTCGTGTTATCTACTATGAGTCTCGACAAACTTTGTCGGACAAAGCAACAATCTCGGAGATCCAATGCTTGGTCTCATGAGAAGAACCTCAGGGTCGGCCGGATGAAAGCGTTCTCCGAGCTTGAAAGGCTTTTTGTTCCACCCTCAGGGTGTCACCCTATGAAGAGGGCTAACCTGATCTTGAACGCTCATTGATCATAGACTCATGAGTGTGCTCTCAAGTCTTAGAACTCTGTCTGCAGCTATATTAGTTGAAGTTCATATTGCGAAAAGAAACAAGGTTGGCTCGCATTTAGCCTAATAGTAATGGGGAACAGTTATCTCTCGAAAATGGAGACACTTGTGTTGCTGGTCTGATCCTGTCTTCGACCCTGCATTGAACACGGCCCGAGACGTTATGCCGTAACCCAATGCTCAGCTACAGTCCATAACGGTTATGGACTGTGGCTGAGCATTGGGTTACTCAGAGGCGGGCCATGCTGAGCATCAGTATGAACTCCGTATCCTCATCAATGGAGAATCAAGAAGAGCTCAAGAATGCGAGCAACTGAGAGTGTTGGGTCCTCAGATTATCGGGGGCCGGCGCACTGTGTGGAGTCTACTCGAAGTCGTGGTCGGGTCTTGAATTGATAGTATCAATCTGACATTTCAGGTAGCTGATGCTGCTGACTCTGACAACACAATCTCGGAGTTAGATGCAGGTATCAGATCGTACATAGGCTGCGGCCGGCAAGGTTGGCAGGAGTGCCAACGATAATTCTCAAAAGAATCCACGTGAAACTCTGAATGTGATTGGTGGTTTAGCACGTGTACCAATGAGCCACCCTTAGCAATGGCGCGCCCGCTATTGCTGTCTATCTGCTTACTCCGCATAGGTAGAACCGCACAAGCAGGGTCGCTCAAGTAGGGCCGCACAGTCGCACATAGCGAACGCACGATATAGCGCAACGAATAAACTGGCCACACAAGCGGACAGATCATCGGATGATCTAGATGATTCATTGTACAGCACTATCCTGCTATTAGCGAC